CTGATGCCAGATCAGCACAACCTTCCTCTTTCACCAAACAGCCAGGTAATCTACAACAACAATAATAATGTACATGCATTTAATTAGTTTTATTTTTATTGATTGCATATATATTATATATATATATATATATATAAAATAAAACAGTGCAGAATATAAACAATTTTACTTTCTGCCTAAAACTTTTCTATCCAACTGTAGACAGCAGGTAGATTTGTAGTAGGCTAATGAAGGGAAAAACAGAACAGTTTCCCAAAATATTTTCCTCATAAACTTGCTTGACAGGGCGTCTGTAATTATTAAAATCACAAAATTAATCAGTGCGAAACACAAACCTGAGTATGTTGAGTTGACAGTTTGGACTTTTCAGTCCAGCAGCAAGCAGTTTCCCTCCTGAATCCTGCAGATGATTGTTACTCAGGTCCAGCTCTCTCAGTGGGGAGTTAGATGATTGTAGAGCTGAAGCCACAATTTCACAGTGCTGACCAGTGAGATTACAGCCTGCCAAACTGAAAACAGCAAGGACTCTGTTTAAAAGGCATGCTGGTGTGCTGATGTCCCCACCAGACTGAAAGACTTCCTTAGCTCAGTGCTTCTCAAACCTGTCCTGGGGACCTCCGTCATTGCACATTTTGGATGCCTCCCTCATCAGTCACACCACAATTCAATTCAGGTCTTGGAGTCTCTACTAATGAGCTGATGAGTTAAATCAGATGTGTTGGATGAGGGAGACATCCAAAATGTGCAGTGCTGGGGTAACTCAGGACAGGTTTGAGAAGCACTGCCTTAGTTAACAAACTTTACCATAAAAGATCATGTTAGTTTAACATTCACTCTCTGGACTGTTCCAAAAAAAAAAAAAAAAAGGTCCGAAAATTAAAACAAGTTCATGACGTAATTAAAAGTACATTATGTACATCATATCTGTAAATTTGTAAATTTAAACACTGGGACTCATTTAGGGTATTTGGTCAGGGTTTGAGCTAATCAGCAGGACACTGGCCCTCCAGGACTGGAGATGATAATATGATTTACTTGATGAGTTACTTTATTACATAAACCAATTATATTGACTAAAATCACCTAAACAACTGCAGAATCAGACTACATTTACTGGTTAAGTTTACAAAGCATGAAGCTATTTTTTTTACATTCTACAAATCTTTAAAAAAAAAATAATAATAGCATTGATTGTTTGGGAATGAAAACATCACTCACTGCAGTAATTAACATTTATGCTTGTGAACACAAACCCCAATAAAACACATCAAACTTCCATTACAACTTATGTTGAACCTTATGTTAAATATAATTGTGTTTAGCTTTTCACACTTACAAAGCTTTTCTGCAGTTCCTCACAGCAGGTAACAGTCTCCATCGACCCTCACTTGTTTTGATATTGTACTGTTTAAGGTCTAACTCCTCCAGCACCTCCTCTGACATCAGGATTATGTTTGCCAAAGTTGAGCATTGTGCAAGAGAAATATTTTTTTTGCTTGTTTTAGAGTTTAAAAATGCCTGCATTTCTTTAACAACAGAATTATCTTTCATCTCAATCAAGCAGTGTGATAGATTCATCCATCGTTCAGGACTGACGTTGTTTTTTTGACCTCGTTTGAGGTTTTGGATTATTTTCTTGATGCTCTCTGGGTTGTTCTCTGTGTGTATCAGTGCATCCTGTAAGAGTCTCTGATTGGACTCCAGTGAGATGCCATGAAGAAATCGAAGGAAAAGATCCAAGTGTCCATTTTTACTCTTTAAGGCTTTAGTCATTGCTCCCTTCAGAAACGTATTCAGAGGAACATCCTCACACTGATTTCTGATCCTTTCATGAGGTTTGACATCAACAGACCCACTGATGAAATCTGAGTCACATCAGAAACTTTCTGACTGTCTGAAAACATCAGTGAAATTCTGCTTTCATCCAGACCATCAAAGATGAACACAACTTTACATTTATCATAAATCTTTGAGTCCAGATCTTGAAGTTCAGGATCAAAGTCAAGCAGAAGTCTGTGAAGACTGTACTGATGATCTTTAATCAAGTTCAGCTCTCGAAATGTAAGCACAAACATGAAATCTACATCCTGATTGGCTTTTCCCTCGGCCCAGTCCAGAATGAACTTCTGCACAGAGACGGTTTTTCCAATTCCAGCGATGCCTTTAGTAAGAACCGTCTTTATTTTGTCTTTCTCCTCTCTTCTCATCTTCTCATATCCTGGTTCAGGTGAAGGATTAAAGATGTCATTGCAGTTGATTGGAGTGTCTTGGAGTGTCCTGTAACTTTTCTCCATCTGTAGCACCTCATGTTCTTCATTCACTCCTTCACTCTCTCCCTCTATGATGTACAGCTGTGTGTAAATCCTGTTCAGGAGAGTTTGATTCTCTTGTAGTTTGACTCCTTCAAATAAGCTCTCATACTTGTTCTTCATGCTGGTTTTGTGCTGGTCTTTGACTCTTTGTAGATCATCATGCACTGGTTGGTGAGAATTGAGCTGCAGAGCTGCTTCTGTGTCATGATGACTGATTTGGTTCTGACTGTAGGAGGATGTGAAGGTCTGACAGGACACATATCTGATCTGGTCAGCTCTCCCACCACTGAAAAGATATTAAGAAGAACAGAGAGACAAAAACAAACAGAAAGAGTTTTGTCAAAACAGAGAAAATATTTAAATGTCTCTAATATTAAATAATCTTATTTGAAATCATACCACAACCACATTTAGAAAGTTTTGTTCGATATGTGACCCTGCCTGTGAAAACCCAGCTAAAGTCATTTTTTTGTGATTCACAGTTTTCTACATAAAATCATCCTTCATAAAGACGTAGAACATTCTGTGAAAATATAACATTTATATCTTTAATATTGACTGAGTAAGGCCATGTCAAAGATTGAAATCATAGTGAAATTAATGGTTGAAAGCAAACTTTGATGCTTGTTATCTCATAATTAGATTTTGAGACTTTAGCCTGGATTTCACAGACAGGGTCACATATAGGCTAATTTTAAATATAATCAATCTATTGTGGCCAACAGATCCTTCTTATTACCATCAATATTACTCTGTGTCCCTGAATTTTTGTGTAATTAGACAAAAAGGGAATAGACATAGAGAACGTCTCAGGTTACTTATGTAACCATGGTTCCCGGAGTAGGGAACGAGACACTGCGTCCTCTAGGGGTCGCTATGGGGGAACGCCTCGTCGTGACCCGTGTCTGAAGCAT